AAAAAAAAAAAAGATGGAAGAGAAGAGTGGGAATATGACCATTTCTCTAGGTACAGGAAGAAGTAGGAGAAAAGGGTCATTTTGGCAAGGAGGAAGGTTGAGATGAGGTCTACTTTGGTATCACTTAAGTTGTTATATAATTTTGGTCACAATGAAAAAGTTGGTTACTACTTCTCACTTCGTTTAATTTTTTTTTCCTCAGATAACTTTGATTAACTTGTTTCTTGAACTTTGGATATAATTTTTTTTTCTTGTCAAGGACATAAAATTTTAAAATACAGACCCTAAGTCTTCAGGATCTTAGCGAATATGAGAAGGAGCAGGGTTGACAGCGAGAGAAGCAAGTTCATTGCCTCACACAGGTGGCCTTCTTTGCTGAGGTCTGGAGGCAGTGGTTGAACACAACCACCCATCTTTCTTACCAGGCCCTGAAGATGGTGTCCTCTGGGTAACCCTCTTTATCTTGGCAGATTTTCTATATAAGAGAAAGAAGAAGTGTAAGGCGGTCTTTGAGAACCCTATAAATAACCCTTGTAACATTTCCCTTAAAAAGCCATTCACAGGACTGAAGAAGGACCAAAATATCTAAAGACATGAGTTTTCTTTTATATTTCTTCTTTTTTTTTTTTTTAAATGGAGATGAGGTCTTGCTGTGTCACCCAGGTTGGTCTTGAACTCCTGGCCACAGGTGATCTTCTGTCTTGGCCTCCTAAAGTGCTGGGAATATAGGTGTGGGCCACTGCACTTAGTCCATATTTCATAGTTTTTTGAAAGCAAAAATATCCTCCATACCTATTGAATTATTCAAGGGTAGGTACAGCTTGTAACCATCTTTCTGTCCTCAGTGCCTGTACTGCCTATGTTGAGTGCATGAATGTAAAGTCTTTTACTTTTTTCCTGTTTCTTCTGCTAACTACTCTGCATCTCAGATGGTAAAACCTTCACAAAGCATATTAAAATAATACCAAAAATGACTGATTTGGCTCGGTGCCTGTGGCTCAAGTGACTAAGGCGCCAGCCACATATACCTAAGGTGGTGGGTTCGAATCCAGCCCGGGCCTGCCAAAACAACAATGACGGCTGCAACCAAAAATAGCTGGGCATTGTGGCAGGCGCCTGTGGTCCCAGCTTCTTGGGAGGCTGAGGCAGGAGACTAGCTTGAGCCCAGGAGTTGGAGGTTGCTGTGAGCTGTGATGCTATGGCACTCTATCCGGGGGATAGCTTGAGGCTCTGTCTCAAAAAAAAAAATGACTGATCATTTCCCATTGCTAGACACTATTCTTAGCTCATTAAATGTATTAATTTGGGCTGGTGCGGTGTATTACACCTGTAATCCTAGTGCTCTGAGAGGCTGAGGAGGGTAGATTGCTTGAGCTCACAAGTTTGATACCAGCCTGAGCAAAAAGTGAGATTTTGTCTCTACTAAAAATAGAAAAACTGAGGCAAGAGGATCATTTGAGCCCAAGAGTTAAAGGTTGCTGTGAGGTCAAGGGAGACAGCTTGAGTCTCGAGTAAATCAATAAAAAAAAATGTATTAATTAGCTCAGTCAATCTATGGTAACTCAATGAATCTACAGAATAACTTAAAAGATATGTGCCATTATTATGCACATTTTCCAGATGGGAATATTGAGGCATAAAGAAATGAAGTGACTTGACCCCTGTTACATAGTTAGCAAGTGGCAGAGCCAGGACATGAAGTGAGGTGGTAAGTTTCTAGAGCCAGCACTTTGCTATTAGGGATAGCCCTCAAAAGGTAGGGCAGCTTCCAGAAGTACACTGGCATATGCTTACATGCTGTCCAACCACAATCCCCAAGATGATGCCGAAGGGGGTAAAAAGTGCAGCATATACAATAAGCCACTGGAAAATTTGCCCTAAACTTTCTTATAACACCCACTCTACCTCAATCTTTGGTGTTCCTTCTTCTTTTCTTTTATAGTCTTCATTCGCTGCTATATCTTTCTCTTATCTTGAATTCTTCTGTACTATTATGAGGACAACACAGGCTCTTCCAGCTATAGAAAGAAACAAGACTTGGTCAGCAATTTAATTCTACAGGGCATCCTAAAGGTTGTCATGTATACATACATAGAGAAAATGGGAAATTATAAGCCCGACATATATTTACAAAATATTCATTACCAAATTTTACAAAATACTTCTGTGTTGATAAAAACACAAAATATGAAATAATATAAAATACAGATTTGTTAATTTTTCCTATTCATGGCACCCAGTATATTTGGTGATCAAATTTTATAGGGTTAAGGCAATGGTGCTTTTCACCTCCCCTCCTATATGATGGAATAAAAGGGACACATCCAGTATCAATACTAGTAATAGTCAATAACTATTAAATCATACTAAGAACTTGTTCTAGGCACTTTACATGTGTTAACTCATAAAATCCTCACGCACTATAGCGGTACCATTTCCAAGATGAGGAGACTGAGGCACAAAGAGGTAAGCATCTTGCCCAAAATCAGACTTAGTGAGAAGGCACCTTGCCACTCCTCCCACAACCAACACCAGTAGACTACAAAGACTACTTTCCCTGAAAGTGAAGTGGGACAAAAGAAATAAGATCCACCCCTATGAAGGAAAGACTGGTCTAGTCAGGGGGAGGGATGGCAGCATTTCTTAGGAGAGATGAGTTAGGTCACTCCAGACACATTAACTCCAGCACCCCTAGCCTTGGATCATGGGTGGAGATTGGAAATATCTTCAGGGACTTTCAAAACCTTTCTGCATGAATACAAACTACTAAGACAATTAGCTGCTCAGAAAACCAAAGCTATCTTGCCCTCTCTATCTTCGTGCATGTTCTACCTCCTTCTCTAACCCCTGAGTTGCAGAAATAATGACATTTGATGGCTTCTTCCTCAACGAAAGCACACGGACAGGCTGGAAGAGGAAAGAACAGGGCGAGCATAGGCTCTGCTGCTCCGACAAGGGATCCACATTGCGGACTACAGAAAGTGCCCAAGTGTTGGGGCTACCCCGACCATCTAGCAATAGGAATAAAACCTTGAAACTTCAGTTCTTTGCATCGCTGGGCCAAGACGTCCCTTGAGTAGGATTCCGTGCACACTGGTAGTTACAAGATGCAACAGTCTTCAACACATACGAGGAGGGATGAAAACGCGGGCTTCCCCAAGCTGCTCGCTCCGTGATTTCCTAAGCTGGCGGATGCTCCTCCAAACGCTCACCAAGGTGTTCCGCTGGATAAGTGCTGGGTAAATGCTTGTCGAGAATATTAAAAATAAATAAACGTATTCGGCCCCGCCGCCGCAAGAATAAACAATGATTTATTTGGAAAATACGTGTCGATGTGGCCACAACCGTCCCCTGGAGGTAACAGCCAGAGAAGGGGCTCAAGGAGCATCCCGCGGGTGCCAGACCAGGCTCATGTCTCGCCTGCCAGGTGGCTGGTGCGGGGCCGGGCCGGAGGTCACCTCCACCGCTCCCTCTTCACGATAGCGCACCGGCCGCCGCTCCCGGCCGGGGCCGCCCGCCCAGCTGTCACTGAGGGCGTAGCTGTCCCGGAGCTTTTTCGTTGTCACAAGCCGTGGTAGTTACCTCACGGGCGGCCGCCCCGCGCGGTGACTGCGCCGGCTAAGGGGGCGAGCGGGCAAACGGGAGCCGGGTCACGCGGACTGTGACCCACGGGGGCAGATGAGACTCGGACCGTTGACAGAACCGAACCGCCAACGGCCACGCGCTAACGGCCGCGCGCCCGGCCCACCGAGCCCCGCCCCTTGCCTTCTTTTTCTCAGGCGCCCAACTCCACCCGCCCCTGCCCCACGCTCGCCCCGCCCCTGCCCCTCGCCCCGCCTCGCGCGCGTGCTCGCATTCCACTGGCGGAAGTCGAGCCCAAAGGCGAGGCGCCGTCGCGTCGTAATGACGTTAACCGCCGGCGCGGGCAGGTGACGTGGCGCTGCCCGTTGTCTGTGTGCGGGGCTGAGGGGCCCCGGAGGCGGTGGGGG